GAAGCAGGCTTCCCGCAGAGCAGGGAGCCTGATGTGGGGCTCGATCCCAGGACCCTGGGATCATGACCTGAGCCGAAGGCAGATGCTTAACAACTGAGCCACCCAGGCGCCCCGATTGTCTGAAGTTTATGCTTTAGCAGTAGTGCTGATCTACCTTCAAAAGCATTATATGTTAAATATTCAGTAGTTACAAACAAAACAAAATTCAGTAGTCAGAAATGGTGTTCTATATTAAACTGTCTTCTTTCAAAATCTGTTTTTAATGTTGTCATTGTAGCATATATAAACCATTTCTAGGGGCGCCTGGGTGGCTCAGTCGGTTAGGCGACTGCCTTCGGCTCAGGTCATGATCCCAGGGTCCTGGGATCGAGTCCCACATCGGGCTCCCTGCTCAGTGCGGAGCCTGCTTCTCCCTCTCCCACTCCCTCTGCTTGTGTTCCCTGTCTCGCTGTGTCTCTCTCTGTCAAATAAATAAAATCTTTAAAAAAATAATAAAATAAAAAATAAACCATTTCTAAATATTTTCTTTCATTCACTCAAATATTCATGTGCCTACTATGTTTTAGAGCATATCACGAACTTTCTTCTTCTGGTTGTCAATCATGTATCCAAAATGGGGTGTATTAACATTTGCACGTACTTAGATCATTGGTGCCTAGTGTGTTCCAGGTTTTTGGGAGTTAGATAATAGGTTTAGGAAGATAAAGACAGCAGCTACCCTCTTGGACATAGCATAGTGAAGGAGGCTATAGCAACTTGCATGGAAACCTATTTGTCTCTTTTATAAGAAGTGAAATGTTTTGTAGACAGATGCATAGTCTTTACTACACACTAGTTTTGAAATTAAAAGGTATGTGGTTGGGCATCAGAATTTCTGATGGGCATTCCTATTATAATCCACTATCTTGAAATATTAATGTTTATAAAATGAGTTACACAGAAGGGTTAATGCTATTACTGATGAAAGTATTTTTTAAAAGACCTTTTAGGTTTTTTATGGTAACAGTTTGACTCTTAAATGTAATAATTCCGCAAGACTTTGTTTCTGCAATTTAAAAAACGGTTTCTTTGAGTCATCTAACTTGTTACCAAACAGTGGCATGCAGTGTGGATGCATGGTTTCCATTCAAATTTGAAGTTGCTTAGGAGTTTCCTGTCCCTTAATTTGGGGGATTTTTTTTTCAGTGCTTTTTGTTTCTCTTTTAGTTTAACAATGTTTTGAAGCACTGAAGTAAGCTGTCCATCTGCTTTTGTTGTTGTTGTTGTTGTTCTGTTTTATTTTGTTTGTATTTTTAATTAGTGATAACCTGACTGAATGACCTCACCTCCCTCAGCAAATAAATGTCTCTTCCCATGAGGCTAATACCCGTAGCAGTTTATGGGACGGGGCCCAGTTGGAAAAATGTGGCCGTATACCTTTTTTTTTTTTTTTTTGAGTAGGCTCCACACCCAACATGGGCTTGAGCTCATGACCCTGAGATCAAGAGTCACAGGGTCTACTGACAGCCCGCCAGGCCGCCCCGGCAGTGTACCCTCTTAAGGAAAATACTTTCCATGCTCATTTTTGTTTGGTCACCTAAAATTTATATTGATAACTGCTGTGACTTTCAAGTCCTCTTTAAAAGATCTCCAAATGTATCACTTCATGAAAATACTAGATGTCATTTGTAGGAATCAAATGGAGTTTCTGAATGGAGTTTCTGATTTTAGTGATTATATGTGATCCTAATTTTTAGTGGCTTTACTAAATGTGTATACAGTCTTGTTTTACAAATTCATTTACGTACATTGACTGGATTTTGAGTGAGACTCATTTGTAAAATTTAATTATTGTTATATCAGCCACGTTGGAAAAACAAACATAATTGTTGGACTTGATTTCTTCTGGAAGATAGATTGGTATAGCAGATTACTTAAATCTCTCTGAGCCTCGATGTCCTCGCTGTAAAAGGAGGCAGGCACCCTGTCAGTCTTAGGAGTGGTAGATCAGGATGAAATAACATGAAATGCTCAGCACAGTTCATGGCATAGCGTCAGTAAGTGTTAGCCTCAGTACCACCCCTTTCCCCAACTGTATTCTGCGACAGAATTGTAGTACAAAAGTGCTGATATGAGGCGCCTGGGTGGCTCAGTCATTGAGCGTCTGCCTTCGGCTCAGGTCATGATCCCAGGGTCCTGGGATCGAGCCCCGCATCGGGCTCCCTGCTCCTCAGGAGGCTTGCTTCTCCCTCTCCCACTCCGCCTGCTTGTGTTCCTTCTCTCACTTTGTCTCTCTCTGTCAAATAAATAAATAAAATCTTTAAAGAAAAAAAAAGTGCTGATGTTCTGGCTAGAAGATGTAGATTTAAGTCCTAGTTCTTCTACTGCATGCTTTCTTGGATCAGTCACTTGACCACAGACTGTTTGTTTTCTCTTCTATAAAATGAGGTTTTGAAAATTAAATGATGTAATGAGCAAGTGCTTCAGATCTAGGCTTTTTTCTTTATTATCTAGACTATTTATTATAACTTGCTTTATTTCCCAATAGTTGACATAAATTTTTATGTGCAAGGGGGAGGAGCTGTACTTCAGAACATTAACCCAATAGTTGGGTTGAGGACGCATTTATTTGGAGGAGCAGAGTATAGGAGGCAATGCCATTGTCCTTCCAGGTAGTTTTAACACATACAGACCCAGTGAGAGGCTTCAAGCTGAAGTGGGAAGGGCCGGGGGTTGCACCGAGTGGTAAAACAATCAGTTTAAAAAGATGGCTGTGGCTGCCCTGATTTCACTGGACCAGGTCTCTTGATTCTGTTCTTCATTAGTTTCTACCTCTCCTGGTAGAGTTCTTTCCTATATGCGATCCTGCCACTATTATCAGCTTTCTGAAGAGTGACCTACATTTTGTAATCTGCATTCCCCACAACCTGCAATGAATCTAAATCTCAGAAATATGTAATTTTCTGACACTGGACTATAAAAGGTTTTCATCAGTTGACTCTACTTTTTTAAACAGGAAGTGGTTCCACTTTCTCCTTAGGACATACTTTTTAGCTCTGGCTGGGAAATTTGTCATTTTCCATTTCTTGCCTGTTAACTTGACACAAGCTGTTCATAGGCCCAGAGTATAACAGACCTCTCCCAGTGACTTTTTTTTCCCCTTTGGAAGCCCTTTTATTAAAAATTTTCTGATCAGTTATCCTAAGGTAATTTTAATTGCTTTATGACAAATGTATGTGATTATTGATATCAATATGATATTGATAATTTAGTTTTACTTTCTTTGTGTGGCTTGAGTATTCCTTCTGTAACTATTATAGAGTGCCAAACTTGAGGCAAAAGTAGAGTGAATTCTTAGATTTAAAATGTGACATACAAACTTCTTATCCTATCATTTTAATAATGAAATGTTTTAAATGTTCTTAAATAACAAAGGTGAGTTGGAGTGGGGAGGAAAGGGGGACAGACAACCTGCCAAGGCAGTCACAGAGCCCCAGTACAACTTGATAGTTAGCCATTATTGTCCATTGATACGTGCATACTCTTAATGGAAGTAAGCTTCAAAAACGGGAGCTCCATGGAATTTCAATTTAATGACTTCCATGGAATTTAAAATGATTCCATAATTAAAATGGGGCAGGGCCCTCTGCTGTGTTTATTAATGAGTTCCCTTTTGTGCAGGGGTGTGGGTGATTTCCAGCTCTCATGCAACACAGAATACAATAGGTGGTCAGTCAGAGGCACCTACCAAGTGTTTAGACCTGTCTTTTAAGTTATTTTCATTTCTTCAGAAGAACTGAAGAATCTGTTGGGGCAAAGAGATTTGTGGGGTTTTGATGGATCTCCATAAAGCAAAAGCTGTCACTCTGACCACTGAGCATGTACCCCTCATTCATCTGAGGGTTCACATTAAAAGTGACAAGGTGACGTAGTAGCAGCAGCCTCTCTGGTTTTCTTAGTCATGGCAGCAGTTAACAGTGCACGTAACACACCAACACTCAAGTCCTTATTTTTTGTTTTTGTTTTTAAGTCATTGAAATTATGAGACTATCATTCAGATGGAAGCATTGTAGTTCTTCGGAACCATTATGATCTCAAAAGGAAAGGAGAATGATACAGATACACTGGCTGAGGTGTTTTGAGGTGCATCGAAGTGTTCCAAGCTGTGACTTACCTTAACATGTTCTTGAAGTACCATGGCGTGGATTAAAAGGTATGCTTTAGAAATCTCCCAGTGACCCCAGGGTTATGGATAGAATGAAAGCTCATGATTCTGTATTTAATTATCACAATTAAATTTTTAAGAGATTTTAATATTTAGATTGTAGATGTGGTATGGATTTATGGTAATAGTACTTTTTCTTTTGTTAAAAAAAACCCATATATCATAAGGTTGATGACTGATTTCTCTCTCCCTCCCTCCCCCCACCCCCTTTGAGATACAGTTATAGAAGACACTGGGGTAGATATTTTCCCTGGATTTTAATAGTAATGGGCTGTAATTTCTTTCACCAGATAGTTTAGGTATTAGTCATGTATTGGTCTGTAATTAGCTTTGTGGTTTACATCGTAGACTAGTTTCTTTGCAGTGCTGTCATTTCATGGCCTGAATAGGAAATAGATAAATGCCTTAGTTGGAGCCTTAATTTGACCAAATAAAATAATTCTTATGTGGACCATTTATAGTTTGTGCTTGTTTTTGTCTTTTACAAAGAATTTTTCCTGAGAGGAAAATGCATGGCTCCTTATTAACAGTGATTGTTGTTGCTTCACTAATTGTATGTATGTAATTAATCATTTATGTGTTTGTGGTATGTAGTCCTCCTGTTATTTGTGGTTGCTAATAGTGGTAATTCTAGGTTTCATATTACCCACTTAACTGTCAAAAATTGTTAAGGTTTTTATGTTTGTACATTTTATTTGACTGATGTAGTCAAAACCACTTTTTAATTATTTGGAAACAACCTAATTTTGTACTGTGTGCTTGCTACTAAATGTTTTCCTATGGATGGTGGAAGTGAATGAACCCAGGAAGAATGCAGAGTTTATTAATGTTACATTAAGTTCAGAATTCTTTATCTTTTAGGTAATAAAGAAAAATATGTTGGGAAGGTAATGGTTTAAATCATGGATAGATAAATTTAATAGAAATACAGTAGTGCAGTCTGTAATTTTTATCGTTTCGGCTATCAACGTTAAGATCCTTTTGATACATGAGCAGTTAAATTCTAAATGAAATTTAGTTATTAAACCTAAGACAAAATTGCTTTGTATTAAATTCCAGTCTATAATGACAGCGATCTAATCAAGTTTCTAGGTAAAGTAGGCTGCTTATTAACCAAGGCAATCATTCACTTCAACCGGGTATTTTATGTCTGATGGCACACAATAGTGTCTACTCTCCAAAAAAAGATCTTTTCTGACATAATGGGTTGGAGATGATATTCGATACATTGTTTACAAAATGTAATTCTCTATAATATTTGCTACTTTAACTTAAAAAATCTTTTTTTGGGGGTAGTGCTTGGGAATCTGTTTTGTTTTGTTTTAACTCCACTGAGGATTCTTAATGTACAGCCAGGGTTGAGAACTCGTGTGGGGAAGTGTTCATAGAATTTATAGCTTAGTGGTTAAGAGCTTAGACTCGGGGACCAGCTGACCTGTGTTTCAGATCTAACACTTAATTTTATTACTTTGACAGGTTGTAAAAATGATCTGGGAAAAAAGTTTAAATTTGTATCTTAAAAATGTAGTAAATAAGTATATACATATATAATTTATGTTAATGCATTTTATACATGTGTATATAAAAATACATATATGTGTCTCTGTATAAATATCTACCTATATCAATAAATTACACACACAGTGCTGTGTAGGAAGCCAGTGTTAGACTAACAGTGGTGATGATGATTAAATACCGATCAGGAACCTGGGGGGTGTAGAAGGGGGGTGCTGTTACATTTTTTTCTTACCTTGAGTCTTACACATTCTCATGATCTTCCTAGAGCTAAATAAACAATCAGTATTTGATTGATGTTTTCAGTTCTTTGGGCTTTTTCTCATCAGTTAAAGGTGGCCACTAGAGACCTGTAATTTATCTATGGTCCTCTTATCCTGCTAGGTTGATGTGTGTGTCTCTAAAGCTATGTTTTTTTTTTAAATTGCAGGTTTCAACCCACTCATTAGTGGGTCAAGAAATCGATTTAATGGGTTATGACCAGCATTAAGACAACATATTAGAATAGAAAATAAAATACCAGGTGCACTGAATGTAGAAAAGAGTATTTTAAAAAATACTTTTGTTTCAAGTTTTTATTTTTTTTATTTTTTGTTTTTTTTTTAAGATTTTACTTATTTATTCATGAGAGACAGGGGTAGAGAGAAAGAAAGAGAGGCAGAGGGAGAAGCAGGCTCCCTGCTCCCCGATGCGGGACTCAATCCCAGGATTCCGGAATCATGACCTGAGCCGAAAGCAGACGCTTAACCGTCTGAGCCACCCAGGTGCCCTGTTTCAAGTTTTTAAAATGCAGAAATAAACAAAATATATACCCATTTATGTGTATGTTGATTGGATTGTTTTAGTACCACTAAGTATATGCCTACCATAGTCACAGATGTCCCTCACAGGTGCTGTTAGTTCTGTCTTTTTTTGCCTTGCTGAGAAGTGACCAGGATAGGTTCCAGTTTGTGGCTTGTAATGGTACGCCATGCTCTATATCACCTTCAAGGATTACCCTACCATCCCTTTCGTTTGAAGTGAAGGTTATTACCGGAGAGTATCTAAGGAGTAGAGGAGAATAGGAGAACGTAATAACAGCTTTTGAGTGGCATTAATCAAGGCTGTTTTATCAAGTAGAGTGTTCTAGTATACTGCCCCTTGGCATACATCCTGGTGTTTATTATCTATAGATCCGTGTCTTCAAACTGCCAGTGGCAGCCCATTCTGGAGTCAATTTAATAAGTTATTGCCTTTCTCCCCTAATTAAATGAAACAGAAAAGAACAGAATAGCAGATGTCATGATTATATCCCAAATTTTATAAAATTTTTGTTTCAGGAGCATGTATATATACTGAATTGCAGAGACCCAAGTTCTGGTAACGATCATCTGAGAAACAATATGAAACTCAGTCTTATAAATCGAGGTTGCCAAACTGACCTCAGTCAGAAAAGACTTCAGATATCTAAAGCAGGATTGTCAGCCCAATAGTCTTACCTCTGATGGTAGGTTATAATTAATTAGATGTGAGACGTTGTTTTTATTTTTGGTTGTGTTGTTGACTCCCTAGCTTGCTTGCCCTGGTAAATATTTATAAAGGCTCATCGGTAAGAAATTTAAAATATTTCCTAGTTGAGGAATTTACTCTTACGCTACATTGATGAAAGTGACCCATTCAATTAAAAAAAAAACCCAAATCTGATAATATATACTAAAACCCACCCATTTCATTTTCCTATTCCTTATATGTTAAGACTTTTTCATGTAATAGGTTCTTCTTTAATTCAGAAGGTAGATAAAAATTTAATGTTGCAAAAAGATTAAGCATAAATCAGATACATGACAATATTTTGGGTGGTTAAATGTTAGAACTTTTAATTTTTTTGGATTAGTGCCTGTGCCTACCACGATGTCCTCATAACAGGCAGATATTTGTTTTACAGATTTGTTGAAGATGATCACAGTTTCTGGTGAATATTTTAAAATAAATAAAGCTTCATGGTAGGACAATATCAGCATATGTATGTTTTAGATTGTGTCTAAAATAGTTTCTTCTGGTAAATTGTTTCATAGCAATGGAATTTGTATATTAGTTTTCTACACTTGGGAGTTGAAAAATGGAAGAAATCTTTGCCAGAATAGGAGGCCAAAAGATGATAAGCACAATTCATCTTTCTCTGCAAGTTCTTGGAATTTGAGTCAAACATACATAGTTACTGCTCTGAATTGGGTACGATACACTAAACTTAAAAATCGTGTTTTGAAATTACAGAAGATAAAGTAATAACCACCACTCCCCCCAACCACTGGATTAAGTTCCCCAATGATGGCTGCTTGTCTTTGCACTAGTAGGTACAGGCATATGTTGCTTGTGGTGAAGGTAGAAAACAAGAGCCTATGGATTCTATTACTTTGTTTCCCCAAAACCTCCCAGCCCCAACCTGTCCTTGCCTTCTCCCAGACTCTCCAATTCTTCCTCCCCTTATCAACAGCATTGCTTGGCTTTTCATCACTGTTTTAGTCCTCTTACTACGACCTCATCACTTGCTACCTCATGCTGCTTGTCCTGTTGAGAGCGCAAGGTTTCATGTTGTCACTTTGTGGCATTTGTTCTTCAAAACTGTGTTCCTTTACTTGAGTTATCATCTTGCGTGAGAAGGAGAGCAACTTGTATTCTTGAGAAGGAGAGCAACTTGTATTCTTTTTCTTTGGTAGATTTTTCTTCCTAAAGTGTAGTTTAGAAAGAAACTAAACTACCTTCTAGTTTAGCTGTTGGCCTAAAATGGAGATCAGTGGCCGCAGGTGGTACTCCAACCACATACCTAGGAGTAGAAAAAAGAACATAGCATAAATTACTATGTTAATTATTAGATATGGTTCCCGTATACTTTTGGTTACTAAAAACAAGTTAAAAACACTCGAGGAATGAAGATGAGCTGCTTCGAGAGATTTTAAAAAGATGTTTTTGATTCTGAAAATAACAGTTTTAAAAATCTTTTGTATAAATGGTAGCATTGTTAGCATTGGGCACTTTCTCAAGCTAATTTATATTTCATTACTTTGAAAAACAGTGCTATTTTGCATGTGTCTGGGATCTGGGATATCTTATTAAAAGAAAACTTTAGAATCCCATGTCAAGCATGAACCTAATTAAAAAGTGGAATATGCTGTACCAGTAATTGTCATGAAAATCAGGGACTATCTTCCTTTTCAAAAACACAACAATGTCAGTTTATCTTGTAATATATATATTTTTAAAGATTTATTTATTTAATTTAGGTTTGGGGGAGGTGAGTGTGCGCAGGAGCCAGGGGAGGGGGAGAGGGAGAGAATCTTAAGCAGACTCTGCACTGAGCACAGAGCCTGACGTGGGGTTCGATCTTGCTACCCTGGGACCATGACATGAGCCGAAATCAGGAGTCAGAGGCTTAACTGACTGAGCCACCCAGGTGCTCCTGTCTTGTAATATTGAACTGATAGGCGATTATGAGG